TTATCATGCATTTAAATTTTGTCATTCATTTTTCATTATCATGTATATATTTTATATTGTTGTGCTCATGCATACCATGCATATGTTTTATAAATGAGGTTTTTCAAGAAAAGTATTTTAAAATAAGATAATATCTCTAATTAAAATAACCTTTGAGATTTGGCCTAAATATAGAGGAACTCTTAACAGTTATAATTTATGCGAAGTATTATCTCGATTTCGTAGGGTAATTTAAAAACGCCTAAATTAAAGGAATATTTAGAGCTCTGCCTAAATATAGGAGAGTGAAAAAAGTGTCTCGATACTTAGGATTTTTCCTTTTGATCCAAAAATAAATTGTTTTTGTTTTTAAAAAATTTAAATTAATTTTCTTTTAAAAGAAAGTTAAAAAAAGATCCAATTTTTGGAATAAATAAGTGAAAGTAAGGAATTAATCAATAAACATTATAATAGCACCGTTTTTACCAAAATTCAAGGATAACATCCAATCAATTGGTACTGTTTCAACAGGCACTATGGGAGTGCTAATCTTTCTCCACACAACCGACTCCTAAACTTAACTCTGATTTCGCAAAGTTCAAATATTCGTTTAATAAAATTTAAACTTATTTTTAAATATTTTATTAAAAGAATAAAATTTTTGAGTGACCAATCACACCCTAAAAAATTGGTGACGACTCCTCTGTTTTGATTTTATTGAAATTCTTTTACTTATTTTTGTTTTCCTCAAGTCTGGTGATCACATTGTGATAGTCTTATACCCTTTTTTGATATTTTATTATTATTTCATAAATTTGGAAAAAAATGTACATGAAAAAAATGTATAATTAGAGAAATTATGCCAATATTAATGAAACTTGTTAAACTTGTAAGAAAATACTAATACAAGTTTCTATTAATTTTTTTCCTATGATATATATAATTGTATAGAATTAATTCCATACATACATTATTTAATAGATTAATAAAAATTCATCTCTTTTATTAAACTTTTTTCTTCCTTTTTAACTTTAAACAATTAATTTCTAAATTATTAGCATGGTGAATAAAACATTTTATTTAAAAAGGTTAGAATTAGGAAAACAATTATAATGAATCCTTTCTTTTTCTTTTTACACTTTAACCAAACAATGGTCCTTTACTTTCCTTTCCTTTATTAATGCTATACATTTTTCCTTTCCTTTCCTCTAAAAAATTGTAATTTCATTTCATTTTTTTTCTTTCCTTTACTAATATCTATCTAAACATAGCGTAAAACTATAAATGTTTCCCATATTTCTAATAAACAAATCCCATTCTAATATAAAGAACAAAAAAAGAATGAATCTATCCTACCAACATTATAATAATTGCAATATTGCTCCAAGATATCCTTTAGTATTATTGATAAATGGAACTTCTCTGTATTGTGCTTCATGCATGAGTCCATTATACCTTTACATCACCTAGAAAATTCATGCCATGGCATAAAAGCCTTACCTCAACATTGATCATTCCACTTGACATCTAAAGGCATGCATTTCACCTAGATGAGCAATTTTAACATTATTGATTTTTTTTTCATTTAACATCTAATTATGTTTATATAGTTATATAGCTCATTTAGTAAACATTCTAGGCATGTGTAAATCTCTATTGTCTTCTAAGCTTTCTTATATTTGAGTGTCTTTCAGTTATTATTTTGAGTTTTCCGCTCTTCTAGAATGACTTAGGCTTACTTAGGCATACAAAAAGGAGATTTTCAACCTAAAGTCACGTACAAAAATGCCACAAAATTTTGGCATAAGTTTCAAGCTCGTGACACAAATGCCTTCCTAAACTCAAATATCTCTCCTTTACTCCAAACAATTGGATTAAATGCCCTAACCATTTGTTAAATAGAGATTAAAGACTCTAACTACTTATTATATAGATTAGAGACTTAAACTGTACAAAATACATCAGCCTACAACATTAAAAAGTATAAGCTAAATACATAGGAATACGCCTAAACTAGAAAGTAATATCTTTATGCTATTGTATAGAATTGGGGATCTATTTTGCCTACATAAACCCACAATTAAGCCTATCAAACTCATAAAATATAGTTAAACAATCATCTAGAGATTTGAAAACTAATTTGAATCCAAAAAATTCATTTGAATTGGACTTACTCTGATTTGATAAAAAAATCAACTACTTAAACTTGAATTAATTTGATTTTGAAAAAAATTCAAACTCTAACAACCCAAACGTCTAATCTAAAATTAAACAATTTGGACTCAACATGACTCAACTCGAATAACTCAAAATAATCGAATTTAAATGATCTAATACCAAAATCATATGAATTTAAACTTATTCGAACTCAAAAAATTTATAAAAAAATTTCAGTCTAAAATGATACTCAACATGCCCACATTAAAACCTCTATATTGGCCAATTTCCAAACACATAGTTAGATCTCCTAATTTTGAACAAATTGAATACATGTTTGTCAACTTATTAAATAGGCTGAAATATATATATGTATTAGTTTGCAAAGCAAGTAATGATATTTGATTAACTAAAACTATTCTTGAAAGAGCAAAAATTGTGTTTGGAACAAAGAAAATAGAAAGAACTAGGGAAAAAGGGAAGATTTGCATGTTTTCACTATTTTAAAAGTTCAATTACTCATTCATTTAATGAAAATTAGATCTTTTATTTACAAATTTACTCTTTATCTCTTTTGTTACCTTTCACTTTTGCTCTTTTGTACCAAACATAAAGAGGAAAAATGTTGTCTCCCTTTTCTTTCATTTCTCCCTACCTTCCATTCTCCTTCCTTGAGAAATAGGATTATTGAAACATCAATAAGATGTCATTTCCACCTTATGAAGGACTATAAAATATTAAACACCTTTCAAACAAAAGAAAATTAGATAAGTAGAAAAAGGGTCAAAATACCGATAACTAGCATGAGAGAAGTATTATAGGGCAATTACAATTAAGGATACATAATCATATTATTAGAATTTTTTGAATTTAGTTTTTGCTAGGAAGATTATCAAACATAGTATCTTACAGTTACATGGTGTGTGAGTTTCATGTTAAAAATTAATCCCATTTTTCAACATTTTTGTTTTGTTAAATAAAAAAACCAATTTGACCTACAAACACCTTTAATAAAGAGAATGAATATGTGAAAAAAAATTATAGTAATATTATACATATGAATCTATATGCATATGTATATTTATTCATATTTGTTAAAAATTTTTAAAATTTGTGAACATTTACATAAAAATCATTTATCATCTTAACATGTAGACTCATCAATCAAAAAATAAAATTAACAATATCTTATATACTGCCTCACTTCAAAATTAAAGTTGCTGCCTCTAATATGTGTACAGAGAAAGATATAAATAAATACTTAATCATTTTATTTAATCATATTTTTCACTCATTTATATTTATACTTTATGGATGTATTTGGTACAAAAGATTATGATAGGATAGGATAAGATAATATTATGAATAGGATTAGATTAAATAACATTATCCTATCTTATGTTTGTTGCATACAAAGATTAGAATAGAATAATTTATTTATTGGTCAAAATTATCCTTTCTCAAAGTTTATACAATTTAAATTATTGATGTAATTTTTAAGGGTTTTATAAGACATGTAAATTTAATCTCATGGATTAAAAATAAGCTTTTCCACTTGGGAATGATTGAATTATCTTATAATAAGAGGATGATTAATCCTTCTTATAATCCTATTCTTTTCTTTATATACAAACCAAACATAATATAGAATGATTATCATCATATCATATCCATCATCTTATGCACCAAATATGACCTATGTATGTAAATGTAATTTAAGGGATGTAAAATTTTGTGAAGATTATGTTAATTTTTTAATTAAATTTCAAGTTACAATTAATATATTGTTGTTGCATCAAAACATATAAATGTTAACTAATCTGGCTAACATTGAACTTGATAAAATAAAATAATTGAATAATTGAAAAATGAGATTATATATTCAGGAATACACATTGAATGTTAAGATTACGCATTGAATTTCTTGTAGTTCATCTATAATGAAAAAAATATATTTATAATTGTTCCAAAAGAAATGAAACAAAAGATACAATAGAGTTAGGACCGTTCTTATATGAGGTCTACCCAATATATTTTTTTCTCTTAAAACAAAAAGAAAATGGTTTCAATTGCATTGATTCATTACTAATACAAGAGCATTACCAAAGTGTTTAAAAGAAGTGAAAGTTTATATAATATATTATATATTACAATATATAATATCTATTAAGTAAAAGAGTTCTTATCCTAATGAAGTAAAACAACATTTTAAGAAATTGTTAAATATTCTTAAAAATTAATAAAGAAAATTTGGAAGAAAATTTAACTAAACAAAATAATTAATAATGAGTTAACATAAATAGCTAATAAAATACTATTAGTTGGAACATAACTCATAAATTATTTGGTTTTGTATTTAATTTTAATAAGGTTAGAGTCCAACTGGATTGAGGCCTGGATAAAGTTTTCAAAAAGATAATTAAATTTGATTCGGCCTTATCCGATTTATAGACCTCTAATAAACTACAAAGAGAAAGAATATTTATTCATATTTATAGTTATTTATTTTTTCATATTTATAAAATTATAAAAAGTTTAAAAAAAATTGGAAATTTACATAAGGATCAATTGAAAAATAAAATTAACATTCCGAAAGTGATAAATATTCTTAAAATTTTAATAAAAAAAACTTGAAAGAAATTTTAACTAAACAAAGTAATTAATGATAAGATTACATAAATAGGTAATAAAATACATATTAGTTGGAATATAACTTGTAAATTATTTTATTTTATTTTATTTTTATTAAAATAATAAAGATTGGAGGTGCAAAAAGCAAAAAGCTACCAAATTTGTATTGTAAATGATTTTATTTTATTTTAATAAAATAATAAAAAATAAGATATTTTATTTTCCGTTTCTTCTTTTCCCATTAGGTTTAGGTAAGGCAATATATCTATATATACAAGCGCGTACACTAGTCTTCACTCAAAGCAAACCCTAAGTTTGAAATTGTTTTTCTGCTTTGATTTATTGCATTGCATTGCATTCCCTTTTCTTCGAAGAGATTGTTTTCATCATGGCAAGACGTGAACCGTGGTTTCAAGTGATGGTAGACTGCGGCGTGACTCTCACTCCTCTGAGGGGTTCACTTTTCCCAAACCGGATTTCTTCTTCAAATCCGTAAGTTCCTTGATGATGATACTGGCAATGTTCGTGAGGATGATCAGGAGGAGGAATTCCAGGAAGAATTGGTTTTTCCAGTATTTGTTTTTTGCTCCAATCGACACCGCAACTATGTAGCTCACCGTTTACGTGAGGCTTGATGGCGTACCGATCGGCGCGGCCTTGAAAGGATGTTGGACGTAGTTTTCTCCGATGCGAAGCTGATTTTAGAAAAAGAGAAGCAGAAGAAACAATAGAAGAACAATTGTGAATTTGGCGGCATCCCTACAATAATATTACGCGTCAAGAAGATGGTCAGGTGGGAAGATGAGTTAGAGGCTATGGCACTGGAGTTGTCAATGCAAGAAACTCCTAAGCCAGTTCCTGCGACGAAGGATTCCACCAAGCCTTTGCAAAAAGTGAAGCTTCAACCTTAGGTTGATGGTCTTGGTGCTTCTACTGAAGAGCGCATGATTTGTATGAAGCAACTCTCGCCTGGAACAGAGGTCACTTGCATGCCTTGTTCGCATCTCTTTCATGGAGACTGTGTCGAGAAGGGGCTGAATACCAGTCATCGATGCCCATTGTGCCGCTTTCCAATGCCAGCTAGTCCGTAATGTAATGGGAAGATTTTTTTATTAGGTTTTTTTTTTTCTTTTTAAAAGTTCAGGTTTTTGTTTTTAAGTTTTATTGTAATTGTAATGTTTATCTCTTAATTATCCAATCTGGATTAATAAGAAGTTTGAATTCCTTGATAAATTTGCTTTTACCTTTCATGATCCAACAGGGAGAAAAAAAGAAATAAACTCGTAAAACTGTCCAAGTGCACTAAGTACATATGCAATTTAGTTTATGACTCTTTCCTTCAAAACAAAAAAAAAATGATCATGCAGGTGCAATGGAGACTTTATCAACCTCAACAATGTACTCAAGAGTGGCAGACGGCGGAATCTGGACACCAGAGCCTAAATCTGCACCATTCTCTCCAAATGCCAAATTGGGAGGAACTATCACTCTCCTTTTGCCCCCTGCTTTCATTGATCTCAACACATATTCTACCCCTCCACACATTCCCTTGCTGTAAGGCCTTGACCCCATTACTAGAGCAAGTGGCTTCTTCCCTCCGTCAAATGTATCAACAAACACTTCACCGCTGCCTTCAATTTTTCCCTTGAGATCAATCACCACCACGTCTCCATTCCTTGGAGAAACCCCTCCACCAACTCTCAACTCATAGTACCTGTTTTAAAAGCATAAATGTTATCATTTACTAACCGAAGAAAATGCTGGCATTACATATATATTTCAGGTGGTTAATCAAGTATATATAGATTATTCAATAGACAATGAAGAAAATATACCTTATGCCATTAGGCAACACGACCTCCTCTTGCTTCTCAACATCTCTATCCAAAACAATGAGTGTGGTCAGTGAAGAAGGACTAATCTTAAGATTCATCGTACACAGTTAGCAAGTTTGTTTCAACCGCTGATTCATTTGAGAGGTTATTTAGTAAACTTTTGTATTTGATTTTCTACCCAAGTAAAAAACTAAGTAAAATGGTGCATAAAAAATAACAAAAAATAGTTTGAAACTTTGTGAATTTATTGTGGCAGGTAAGAATTTCACAAATCATCAAATGTCCTTGCAAGTTGAACAAATTTAAAGCATTTGACTTCAATGTGAAGATTCAAGGCTCTATCCTGTCCAGTGGATATATATGATTATAGGAATTTCAAGAGAAGAAATCCACAGCCAAAAAATTCTATATGATTAATACAATTTATCTAAAGCGTTTCAGGATTTCCTTGTATGACAGGAAAGACTAGTAATTGATAAACATGGAATTTGGTTTTCAAGTAAGGATGTAGAGATAGAGCTTAGAGTTAGATACCTTGTATTTGCTTCTTGTTGAGAAGATTCAAGGCGAGTCTTAATCTGTTCAGAAATCACTCCAACAGCAAGGAAGGCTGCCCATGCAAGACCTGCACCGAGCCCGAAGCGCCTGGTCAAGGAGGAAGCTATCCAGTCTGTGGTTTCAACAGTGGTGGCGGGTTTAGGGGGCTTTTGTTGTTGCACTTTTACTGAGGCTGCAGGTGTTTGCTGCTCAGAGGAAGTCGTGCTTAGCTGTGAAGACGGAGTAGGAGGTGGTGGTTGAGAAGATGGATTTGGTGGTGAAGGAGGAGGAGGTGTTTGTGATGATGAAGACAAGCGGGGAGTTCTTAGCGGGTGAGACAAAAATGGTGGAGAGCTAAAGAAGGTTGCCATTTAAGGGGTTTGATAAAATCTTTGGTCGAGACGCTACCAGTCAGCAGGAAGAGAAAAATATTTGTATATAATCTTCACTTTTGTGGAGAGTGGCTGGTCCTACCTTATCCTTACAGGAGATAGGATTTAAAACCTTAGGTCTATTGAGTCTTTTTATTTCTATTCCTTCCCAATGAGAATTGTTTGAGTGCAGTCATGGAGGAATAGCTTATTCATGAAAAGGGTGGACATCAAAAAGGAAAATTATCCATGAATAGGGGTCGTCAAGTTCTTTTTTTTTTTTTTTTTGTGGACTTCCATTGAAGCATATGAATGGTTAACAGTAAAAAAGTTTGAATTTTGAAACCAACAAGTGAAAAAGGCATTATTGAAGCTGCAAATTTTTGAATTGCACCATCCTTCAAAATTTTGCTGGCAGAGAATTCTTGGTTAACTACTGAATGAAAAAGAAAAAGAAAATTCTTTAGCTAACAGCTTTAAAATGATTTTCAGTTATTGTATTTTTCTTCAGTTCACATTATAACCTGAAACCCCCCCACCCCCCATTTGATCACAAGATGAGGAAAAGCATTGATAATTACAACAACTTTCATTTTTTCTTTCTGTTTACAAACAAATGCACAACATTAATAAAAATGGCTGCATCCCTGATACCCAGAAAAGAAGAAACAAAAAGAGAAAGAAACATATCATCCAAAATCGGAGTATATATTGTGTAATCTTCAATCATGTGTGCTCATACGTCCCATACAGTTCAGGACCTGCCAACCGCTGGCAATTCAATAAAGCCAGGCGCACTTCTGTCTTGAGCTTTCTCTCTTGGCCTGCTAAGCCTTCTGCAACACTTCATGGCCAACCCCTATCAATGGGCACTACTTAAAGATACAGTTGATCTAGGTACTTGTGAACTTGTTACAGGCTTTTGCAGTGGCTTCAAAGCAGCCATAATTTCTGCAAATGTTGGCCTCAATTTTGGATCTCTACAATTTCAAAGTGCAAGGGTCAGTTTTGCCTATCACCCTTTACACACAATCAGATGCGTCTACTACTACATCCTATAGATTGCAATGACCATGACACCAGAGTTCATCTCCATGATACAGCAGCAACCAAAACCATTGATCAAAGTTCAATATTGCACACGTTAATATGATTAATCGTCATTATAATGCAAAATCAAAAGTTTAAGTACAATTAAAAAAAACAAAAAAACCAAGAGAAAGAAAATTCAGACTAACAAGTAAAGCTCGGGTTAAGAGAACTAAGGTGGCAAGATCTGTACAAAGTACAGATGGAACATATAATAGATTATGCCCAACATTCCCCCATCTTGTGCAAATGGTTTAGATTTAGCTCAACTCTTACGTGTTTAAAAGCATACAAATTCGTATTAACATGTGAATTTCACATTGAATTTCATAGTTATACCAACCAGATCGTCAACTGTACATGCACCAAGACTATCAATTAATCAACTTCTAAACTAAGTTGATTTTCAAACCAATATGCTAACAAAAGCATACAAATTTTTATAGTCAAATTGATTTGATTTTATAGCATAATTTTACCAGTTTAGGTTTCTTTTAGATCCAGAGAGGATTAGGTGTCATCATCTGAAGTCACAACATGTCATCATCTAAGCAGTGAAAGGCATTGAGTCCATCCAAAATTTACTCCAATACTTTTGTGTCTCTATACTTATATAAAAGTGAGAGTCTAATTTGGCCTCCATTAAGTTAGTAGAAACAAACAAAATACTACAATCAACAAAACAGTCAAACAAGATAATAAGAGTTACATCATGTTTGGACATATTAGTCATTTTGATTCATATTAGAATTACAGTTGTAGTTGTATCCTCAACTCTCATTATATCAAAATAAGCAACACCTAATAACTTCTACTTTTTTCTCTCCTTTTTCTCTTTTACTCGTATTTAACAATATATATCCATACACTCACCAAGAAGAGTATGAAGGACGATAAAGAAAATAATGCTTCTTCAAATTAGCTGTCACTTAGACCTAAGTTCCTAACCTATTTCATGGTAAAGATATTCTCCAGACTCCCTTCACCAACATAGCTAATTAAAAAGACAACAGCATGAGACAATTTCTTTAAGAGCACCAACAATGCCTCTGAAAAGCCACTCTCAAATATTCCTTGAAACATGGAAGAGAAGAATGACTCTAACTCTTCCAAACTTCTTACACTAGACAGGGTAGTTAGGTTATTAATCTGCACTTCACATTAAATGAAAGCCATTTTTCTGAACTTCAAGTTAATACATACATGGCACATACATGCATGCATACACTCTTCTAGTTGTAGCATTGCTTGCAATTAAGGGGTGCATGAATGGTTTAAACACACACATCTTACATGGACATGCATGTGTGACAAAGGTCTAAAACAACCTTTCAAGATTTAAAGAGCAGAACCCAGGTTCAGGAGATTGAAAATAACTCCAAAGACAAAATCAGAGAAAGGTCAACTAAATTAATGAAAAAGTTCTGAAGAAAGAATTGGTAACCCAAAGAAAAAGTTCAGCAAAAAAAGAAACAGAAAATAGTTTGATGCAACAATGTTTAAAAATATAGACCATGAACCAAAACATAAGCATCTACAGCAGTCTGCTTTTAAGCTACGGTAAGAATTTAAAGTATAGCTACTTTGGCAATAAAAATAGCATGCCAATTCTAGTTCAAGATAACTCAAAGGCTATAGTACAACTATATGTGCATGAGCTTGTTGGGAATTGGCTGTATTAAATCACAATATCTAATCTGAGACCAAGAAATAAGGTAATACTAAAAATTATACTCACGTCTGCCAACACTTTCTAATAATTTCTGCAATGACAGGATCCATGTCATCTGGAATGTCAAGACGACGGTGCTGAAATCCTACTGCACCAACAACTTGCATTGGATTCATTCCTCCCCATGGTTGTTGCAATGTAGAGAGCTCCCATAAGATAACTCCAAAGCTGTAAACATCAGACCTGCATATTGACCATATTTTGTATGAGCATTAAATGATTCTAGGATGATGACGAAAACAGTAAAGAAAAATAGCAGAGTGGGAAGGAAAAAAGCCTACTTCTCGTTTGAAGGTTCATTTCGTAGTACTTCTGGAGCCATCCACTCAGCCTGAAGAAGGCACTACATGGACTTGGTTAATTCAAAGGTACATTGCATATGGTACAATTAGAGGTTGGGTTTTGGAAAACAATGAAAAAACATGGATGTGGAGCATAGTTGATGACATTAACAATGTTTGGATCGAGGGGAGAAGAGGGTAAGGAAAGAAAAGCTGGGGAATGGGGAAACCTTTCCCTTGTTTGAATATTATTTAAACTAAAATAAAAGAAAGGAAGGGACAATGGTTATAATGAATATTAGGAAAACAATTATAATGAATCCTTTCTTTTTCTTTTCACTCTTTCACCAAACAATAGTTGTTAGGATTCCTTTACTTCGTTTCCTTTATTAATTTTATGTATGTTTCCTTTCCTCTAAAAAACTTTCATTTCCTTTTCTTTCCTTTACTAATAACTACCTAAACATAGCGTAAAACTATAATTTGTCCCAGATATCTAATAGACAAATCCCATTCTAATATAAAGAATAAAGAAGGAATGAATATATGCTACCAATATTATAATAGTTGCAATATTACTCCAAGATATCCTTTAGGATTACTGATAAATGGAACTTCTCCATATTTTGCATTATGTATGAGTATATTGTACCCTTACATCACCTAGAAAAATCATGCCATGGCATAAAAGCCTTAGCTCAACATTGATCATTCCACTAGACATCTAAAGGCATGTGCTTCAACAAGATGATCAATTTTAACATTATTGATTTTTTTTTTTATTTTTTCATTATACATCTAATTATGTTCATGTAGCTATATAGCTCATTTGGTAATCATTCTAGGCAAATTGGACATCTAACTAGGTGAGGATCTCAAAAGTACATCTATTCATTCAAATTTCTTTCTTCCTCCCTCAAATTGATTTCCTTTGACATTCACTGTGAACCAAGCATAATTAGTTTATCTAAATATATATTATCCTTAACACGTCAGATGGCACCACGTAAGTTACCCACTTATCTATATTGCTATTATTGACATCTTTCCTCTCACTGCAGGATGAGATGTCAACTACCCTTAAATATGAACAAACCCTGCATGCTTCATTTCAGGAGGATTCTCTCTTTGGCAAACCCTGCATGCTTCAGTTCAGGAGAATTCTCTCATCGGCAACAAGAACTGCCACCGCTACTACTCTTGACACCCCATTAGTACAAACATCCAACCATGGTATTAAATATCTACAATATTTTCAATATATGAACAAACCCTGCATGCTTCAGTTCAGGAGGATTCTCTCATCGGCAACAAGAACTGCCTCTGCTACTACCCTTGACACCCCATTAGTACAAACATCCAACCATGGTATTAAATATCTACAATATTTTCAATATATCCAATTTTCATGACCATCAATATGTTTTTTCTTTTTTATTTTTCCATTTCGAACAAATATCAATAGATATATTCGCAAATCAACAAATTTATATAAATATATTATTAGTTAAAAGTATCAAATTTAACATGTTTTCAACAATATTTAAGATATATCAAGGATATTAGAAAAGATCAGTCAATTTATATTTTTCATTCTTTATTGAAAAAATGATTTTTTTCAATGACCTATGTTGCTTACTAGTCTTAAAAGGACAACTATAAAATCTAATCAATAGCAAAAAGCCAACAGTAGCAATGGAATTAAGCAATGCGTCCTCAATTAACGCAACCACAAATGATCCAATTGTTGATCTAGTATTATGGGTCAAATCATATGACAACTATTTTTTGCTAAAAAAATTTAAAATATCATGTTTGAATCAAGATATTAAAACAAGGTAAATAATATATTAACCAATTTTCAATTAATAAAAAAGAAAATAGGAAAATCCAGCATGTTGGAAGCTGATTTCAGATGTTAAAAACCAATAGTTTCAGTGTAAATTATATAGAAAAGAACTACAAGCAAATATTTTTTCATCCATAAAACTAGATGATTGTTCAGATCTAATGTTGTATAAAAAATAATTTAAAGAATATTTAGATTAAATTGATAAATTTTCAAAATGAAATTTGAGAAAGCTTATGGTATAAATTATTTGAATATTTCTCAAACATGTATCATGCTTTTATAATAGAAATATTAGATTTTGTTACCTATCTCAATGAAACTGAAAATTACTCCCTATTATATGTTCTGTTTTATATATCATATGTATAATATTATACTTTTAAAATATAAAAGAATATATACCATTGTTTCAATCAAGATTTTCAAATTTTTATTTGAATTTCCGTCCTTTTCTCAATTAATATCATTATTTTTGTATCCATCAATAGTGATATTTAAAACTTTGCTACCAACTATTACTTTTGCTCACCTCAGTACTTAAACTCCCTAGTTCCTTTCATTACTACTACCAATCTCCAGTAAGGCAATAACTCCATCTCCTTATTCCTACTTTTGGATCTCACACCTTGCACTACTAGATCTCCTTATCTTCACTTTTGGATCTCCTTACCTCTTATCATTGAAATTCCTTAGCCTTCTAATTCAGAAATACCTAATTTTCCTTGTTCATCCCTCACCATGACACCTAATTTTGGCACATTAAGATTGCCCTGCCCTCATTTTTGCCTCCTTTTTTTAGGTCCTCCTACTTACTCAAGGGCAATGGTAGCTCATTCTCCACTAAAAGAACCCTCAATATGATCTTCTTGAATGAATGTATTTCTTATAAAAATTTCATAATATTATTCTTTTGATGATTTATAACCAAATCTACCCCCAAGTTATGGCCTAACTTTACTATCCTATATTCTATTTCACCATATACATCTAGCATTACCAATTGTTGGCACTCTACGCTAGTCATACCCTACTTTTTCCCAAAATTAGCGTTGCATGACATGTCAAGAGAGGAAGCAACAAACTCTCGTTTACTAAATTTTATTGTAAAGATGAAGAAATAAATTTTCTCCTATTTACTACAGTGACAAAGAATAAAATTATCACTATATTTATTCCTTTTTCTACTTCTTCCAAGTGCAGGATAACCCCAAGGGGTTGCGGGTTTTTTCCTACCAATTGGAGCCTTCCCTTCACCACCCACATGGGGATGGTCTATAGTGTTCATAACTACTCCTCTTACTACAAGATGGTTACCTAGCCAACATTTAGATCCGCCTCTACCCAAATGTTTCTGGTTCACCCCAACATTCCCCACTTGTCTGACTGTTGCTGAGCAGTTTTTGGATATCAAATGGACCTCCCTGGAAGGTAATTTTAATGTGGCCAATTTCCCCTCTTTTGCAATCAGTTTCGCTACAGCACCTGCTGCTCTAGTTAATTGTCCACCCCGCACAAGAGTATCAAACAGAAAGCAAATCAACTGGCACCAGATTGTAAAACATGTTTGCAACCAAAGGAAATGAGGATTCATATCATGTGCGAATGAATTTTATAGTATAATTCATTTATTAATGAATTAGCATGTTAGGAATTAAAATCACAGATTTGTAAAATTCTGAACAAATAAAATTATAGATTTCAAACGAATTCCACAACTTTTTATGAAGTTCATTTATTTCAAACACACTACATGGACTTAGGTAGAAGTGTTTTATATTGAGTATCCAAAAATATATAAAAACAAAGCTTTATGGTCATGTTTAGTGCATAGAATGATGTATAGGATAGGATGATAATCATCCTATATCATGTTTGGTTCATATCGAAAGAAAGAGATAAGATTGCAAGGAGGATTAATCATCCTCTTGGCAAAGGATGCTTTAATCCTCCCAAAGTGGGGAGGATTATTTTTAATCCACGGGATTTAACTTATATATTCTATTATACCTTCAAAAATTACATCAATAATTTAAATTTTATAAATATTGAGGAAAGATAATTTTGACTAATAAATAAAATTATCATATCCTAATCTTTGCACACATCAAACACTAGATAAGATAACATTATTTAATCTAATCATATTCATAATATCATTTTATTTTATCCTATCATAATCTTGTGCGCCAAACACACTCTATATAGATAAGATTTCTTTTTATGTTTTCTTCTATCAGAAAACAAAAGAACATGTTTACATTTAAAAATATTTTTATTAAATTTATTTTTAATATGAGTACTAACTTTAAATAGTTTTGTTCCATCAAAAATAATTAGATATATTTTTATTAAATCTTAAACACATTTACTTACATAGCTAGAAAGGAACCCAAGATATGAAAGTCCCAGGACACTTTTTGGATCGGACTAAGACAAAAATCTATATAAACCCAATTTAAAGAAGACATAATTGAAAAGGATTTAAGCCCAATTATTAACTCGTTTTTTCAAGCCCAAGAAGCAATTTAAAAGAAGCCCTAACCACTCCTCTTTTCTGTTTCTATCATCAGGTCACCACTATTCTCAGCTGTGCAACAGTCACAGAAATTCCTCCCTACCTGCATTTCTCTCCTTTTCTTCTTTTTTCAATTACAACAGCAGCTAGGAAAGGGGAACAGAACTCATCCTAAGTTTAAAAAGCCATGTCAGACACATATATAGCACCAGTAGTGATGTTAACACCGGTACAGTGACCTTAAATGTGAGTCTATGTAACAGAGGCAATTACTCTTAAAATAGATAGGATCTGCCATATATAACAGAAAATAAATGAATAGAATATAAAGTAGTTAAAGAAAAAGAAAGGAGAAAACAAGTTCTTTGGCATTACCGTCCCTGCAGTTGACCTTGATGATAGATATGTGCTGTGCTTCATCCGTGATAAACCGAAATCACAAACCTAAATCAAAATTTGATGCCAGGCTGAGTTACTCATAAAAGAAATTTCTAATGTAACCAGCACTAGTAAAGAAGAGATAAAAGGCAACCTTCACAACCCAATTTTTATCAACTAAAAGATTTGGGGATTTCAAATCACGATGTACTATCACTGGAGTACAATTGTGCAAGTAATTCATTCCCCGAGCCTGAAAATTCAAGCATTCAAAAGAGAAAGATTACCCAACAAAGCCATCAAGTGAACTTTAAGCAGACCAAATAAAATATAAGGTAAGAATAATATAATCATTTGGCACCCTAGCATTTGGCCCAAAAGTTGGTGCATGCTTCCTCCTGCTCAAAATAGGTTCAAATCCCCATCTCCAATATCAAAAAATTAATAATAAATAATATATAATATACATAAAGCATAGATGTTAGTAAAACTTTTGATTGATGAAAACAGATATCTTTGTTCAATATATTTCTCAATTTCCATTCTAAATATTTTTTATTATAAATATTAATAAGATTGATCCAATTAATAAATAAGAATTCTAAATCTGTTGAAAAACAATCAAGTGGATTTATTAGATAAATAAAAAATATTTAAGTTAAAAATTTATTGATTTATCTCAAAGTTTTAATTTTACATTAATGTTATTTCAATAAACTCTGTGTTTATCTAGTATATTTTGGAAATAGGACAACTTTACATATTATTATGAATTTCTATTAACATAGCTTTCATTAGTTTCAGTTATTTGTACAATATGCAATTCTATGTTCTTATTATTTAAAATTAAGTAAAAATTGCAATTTTGTGTTTAATATATAATTATTGTTTAAAAAAAATTCAAAAATAACTATTCACGTGCATGAGACATCAAATACTAGTAATAACAAAATGACAGAATCATACAGCATCAAAAGCCATTCTCAAACGCCTCCGCTCATCTAATTGATTGTTTGGCCTGTGAATTAACCTATACAAACTACCTCTGCAAAATTCAAGACGTAAAAAATACTTAGAACATATACAACAAAGTGAATAAATGAATTGCTAAGCACTTGGCAATTAGGAAATTGGATAGAATAAAAAAAGAGTAAAAATGAAAGGAAAAGGAGTAAAGAGCCAACAATGCCAACAAGAGCAAGTTCAGAATCCAGAACCATGCCTCAAGCAGCAGTTTATCCATAACGGCACAATTTCAATAACTCTTCCAAAGTGTTTTTTTAATCCATGCACTTAGCTTATGGTTAATTCAGCTTTTAGCCCTTTTTACTCACATTTCAATTGCTGATAAAATACTGGCACATCATATTGATGAGGATTTATGAAATAGCTATACTTGTGAGTTGATGCATCATTTTAACTAAGCTGCTTAGACAAAAACTAATTGTAATGATCTATTGATAGCACCTACATACATAGAGTTTTTGCATGCTAAAAATGCTGCTATTTTTTAAAATTTGGATGATTTTTGGTGCTTTTCATGTTTTCATAATTTTAGGTTTTCAAGCTCATGGATATTATTTTCATGCAAGCCAAGCATGCAAGCAGTCAAGGAGCAATTTTGGCCCAATTTTGGAGCTCATAGCCAAACCACCTTGTCCCACATTCATAGAGTTTCAATTGCACAAGGACACTCCCATGATGTATTTGGCCACCTCTATTCCAAGAATGGTTGCATGCTACTCCAAGCTCACTTGGACTCCATCATGTTTGGCCAAAGAGAAGTTTTGATTCAAGCATGACTCCTTTGCTTAGCCATGAAGCAATTGTGTGGCATAAGGACTCTATCCATTCAGCCATACAAGGGGGAGGATTAATTTGCAAAAGCATGGACTCTACAACCATCATCCTATTCAGCCAAGACTCCAAGAGAGCCTTCATGCAATTTTCACCACAATAAGGGCTAAGTACATTCGGCCAAGAGGAATTTGAAGCTCACCATGAGACTTGTTGCTTAGCCTTGAAGATTTTGACTTGGAGTAGGATTTTATCCATTTGAATTTCAAGAATTGGATAAAAATCAACTTGCTCTTGAATTTCCAAGCCTCAACCAAATCCAAGAGGAGAGCTTTATCAAAATTTGATCAAGATTCAATCAAAGGGTCAAGACTCCATTCGGCCAAGGCAACTCAAGCTTGAGAAGACCACATTCAGCCAACTCCAAGAAGATTAGGATGAGCACTCATCCATTAGAATTTGAATTTGAAAACGCATCTTGTACTCTCTAACTCTTGGCCGAACCCTCCATTATAAGTACGGAGGCCATTCACTCCTTTCCATCATCCCATTTCTCAATTCTCTTCTCTCTTTTAGTTCTTAGTTCTTATTTCTTTTAGTTCTTTAGTTCAGTTATTCACTTAGATGACAGATTTGCCAATAACAAAGCTTTTATTTCTTTAAATTCTTTTAGTTCAATTCAAGAAGTATTTTTCCAAAAACCCTTTCTTTTATTGCTTTAAGTTTCCAATCTTGTTTTTACAATCTTTATTCTTTTTCTTTCAAGATTGATGCAAGCTTTCTTTTACTTGTTGCAAGATTCAGCTACCACTTTCTTTTATGTTCTTTAAGTTCTTTTCATGCAACCTTTAGTCCAAGTTTACTAGAAGCAATCAGCGTTCTCAAGTTTCTTTAATTTTTCAAGGTTTCAATTCTTGTTTTCTTAGATCTAGTTTTTGGCAATCTTTTTTTTACTTCTCAAGTGACAATTGGTGAAGTCAAGATCTCTGCCTACACATTGCTTTTAGTCTTTACTTTTCTATGCAACCAAACCCTGAATTCCAATTGTTTAGATATAAGATCTTAGGGTTTCACCATTGGCACTTGAAAAGCAACCCAATATTACATTCTATAATCCCTAAGGAGATGATACTCGCATACTTCCTTTTATTACTTATATGAAATGCAGCAATCATCTATGTTAGAAAATCATCACAAGAAATCCTTAGAAAATCACCACAAGAAATCCTCCAAAAGTATTACATTGTCGTATATGATGAAACAGCAAAATCAAACAGTTTCATCAAAACTGCAAATAAAGTTCCAACAAAATGATGAAAAGAAATAGTGACAACATACCTATGAAGAAATTCTGTTACAATTGAAAGGTTTGGAGGACGAGTTACAGCTCCCATGAAAAGAACAACATTGGGATGTCTGAGTTTTTTCATGATTAGGACCTACAAATTAGTGTTTAAAAATTGTAATTTACAAAGCAAGTAGTTTGGACAAATAATGGAGGGGTCAACTGAGAAAGTGAAATGTGATTTAGGGACAACACTTACTGCAAAGAAATGTGCTCGTGTCAAATGAAATCATTCAGAAAGGAAATACTATTAATGAAATTCAAACAGACCACTGACATGCACTCATATAAATGGGGAAACAAATGCTTTAGTTTCTTAATAAACCAGGCAATTACTTTGGGGTTTCCAAGGGTTCAACTAGTCTGGTATGGAACTTGATCTCTTAAACCCATAAGTAAGCCTGATTTTGTATAGTTTTCCTAAATAAATGGATTAATATTCAAGAATATGTATAACATATTTCTTCTATTATACATAGTAAAATTTTGTAACTATTATTGGGGTCAAGCTGCTGGATTACTTGTCCATGCTTGGCCTAGGACACTAGCAGGCTTAAATTTTTTTTTTTTTTTTTTGTCTTGTAGCCTGCCCAATACATCTAAAGGTAGTGTCCAGAGCCCATCCAAACATGAAGTTGAGCTAATGATCTGGGAATGCTTGGCCCTTGCACAACTCTAGCCACAATGACCACTGGAGACGTATAGATAGACATAAATTGGGACAACATTGTCTCGGTTTTAGGTTCTAAGATTCTTCATAGTTAATTATATGTAATCAGTAACTGAAGGTCAAGACATCTCCAATGACATGAACACCGCACTAATCTAGGCTTTGGCATAAGGTAAGTGGTTGTATACAATAGATACAGGAGAGATAGGAAAGGCTTGTACCTCACTTTTGAATTCTTCAAGTGATTCCCCAGAGATATCTTGATCCAGGAACTTCTTCACGGCAACTTCCTGTGAAATCAAAGTGTGGAAAATGGTCAACTATTCTCCTTCAAAGAACAGCAACATATTATGGCAAAGTTTACACAATACAAGATTTAGACAACAAATGATTTCCATCCAAAAATTGGGAAAGTAAAAAATCAAGTTAGAACATTGATTGACAACCAAATTTACGTTGTGTATAAAAAAGTTAATCTGTGTGCATCAAACAATTCATAATTATCAACTATGGAATGCATTATCCAGCCCCAAGAATGCAGGCCAGTTACATACGATAGAAAAGGAACACAATGCAAGTATCCTAATTGTAATAGCTTATCCAAAAGTTTAACCAAATAAATGAAACAGAAATAGGAGCCAAAGTTCGTTTGAAAACCAGTGATTTCTGGTAGTGCTTTAAACACCCAGTCTTAAACCAAATGGTAATCAATAAAGAGGCTAAAGAAGAATATAAGGCCAGAGCAAAACTATAAAAAGGTGAGGGATAACAACAATTAACACTTCTCTTCATGTTGAAGGCCAACGCTACAACAAATAGGAAATGGCCCTAGCATGTAGATAACAAATAAGAACAAACAACCCTGGCTTTAATACCATGTTAAGCTATCAACCAAAAACCAATTAGCAACATGCAGAGAGGCCAACATGAATACAAGCCCATGACACTCTAGCTTTAAACACTTAACAAGAGTTAAATAGACTCAATAGGCAATGCTAAATTGGAATAAACCAGTGATAATTTTGTCTGAGTTTTGTTACCATCATCAAAATAAGGTAGGGGATGGATCAAGACTAATTGACTTTACTTAGAATATCCCTCCATACACTATTGTTTGTTACCATGAAACATATTATATCCCAATCAGGCAGCTATCAACTTGGCAATGCTAAAATTTGATCAAATTGAGACCCCAAACAGGCCCCAGAGACTTTTCACCGCATGCATGGAAGCAGCAAGAGATGCTGTTTTGGCTGGACCTTTCCGACAATATGAAATGGTGGCCATCATATCCCCTATCTTGGTCCTGAAGAATATTTGGTTGCATTACTTCATCTTGAAGTCAAGAGTTTGAATGAGTTTGAAATTGTGAGACCCTTATATCTTAAGCTACACAGAGCTCTTTTTGCCAACTAGCAAAGCCTACATCCTTGGGTATTCAAAAACTCATTCAAAAAAATAGAATATATGAAAGTTTAAGGGAGATTAATTTTGCAAGCAGTGTTTCCCATAATTAAAAATGAAAGGAAATCACAACAATTTGCCAAAAAGATCTTATGAAAACCTGGCAGATTCACTACCGAATACAAGTGATACACAGGAAAAAGACTCAAGACTTAATAGGCTCTTCAGATAGTATCTTGCAAGACACTTTTATTTTGATGCAATTTTATCTTAAAGTTTTCCTTTGAATTGTCCTCATGTCTTCAAGCTGCTTTTTTCAATAATTTGTCCTATATTCTTTTAAGCCATATTAGCAGTTTATATTTCGTATCTTATAATCACTTGCACCACCCAAATAGGTTATTACAAGTCATCCAAGTTGACTTGCCAGCCAATAAACATGATAGAAAATCATACTTTCTAAGTGACAATAGAAAATTCCTAATGCTTCTCAATGACAGGGAAGAAGTAAATTGTTTAGACGTAAAAAGCATATTCAACATAAAAGACTAAGCATAATAAAACTCACAGTCCCATGCCATTCTCCACGATAAACCTCACCATATGATCCTGCAAAAGAAAGGATGCACCAAAATAATGATAATGGACCACAATAATTGAAAACAACTTGGAATCAAACTATCTTCCCAAGATAAAGCAAGAAATATGTAGCAAAAGAACAGGTCCATACCAAGTCCAATGCGCTCACCCAAGCTGATTTCGACCCAAGGAATCTCACAGTCTGCAACATCATCAAGGGCAACATCAGACTTTGAATTATCATTACCAGCTGATCTATCTGATATTCTCGCACCTTCAAAATTTACCCCCAAGGCATCATGCTCCCTTTCACCACTACCTTGTGGCTCACAACCAGCTGAGGCAGCCTCTCCATCACTACGCTCATTATGCTTAGTCACAGCTGCACTAGTTGCCACAACAGCAGCAGCAGTAGCAGTAGCAGCAGCTGCTACAGGAAGTTCAACATTTGAATCAGTGCCTGACTTTGTAGCGGCAACAACCATCGAAGACGCAACAACAGCAGCAGCCGCTGCTGCTGCTGCAGCAACTGGGACATTTCTGGCATATTGAATAGGAGCCACTTCAGATTGTGATGACACAGGTGGTCCAATGACTTCCCTTGTATCAAATGGATGAGTGACCTTTAGGCCTTCCACAGTTTTAAGATGCTCAGGTTGGTTATGAGGAGAGCTTGCTTTAGCATATACTTTGCGATGGGGTAGAGGAGGCAAGCAATGAGAAGGTCCAAAATCATCTTGATTCTTACTTTTGCGAGGTCCAGTGCCCTGTCTATTTTCATCATTAGTTTCAGTTGGCAGCCTGACTTCGATAGTTGATGTATCTAACTGCTCGGAATAAATCTCAGTAAATAAGTTAGGGGGAACAACAACACCGCTCTCAAGTAACACATCATGAAGTTTTTGAGCTAATTGTGGATTCTCCTTGGCAGCATCAATCATGTACTGTGAGACATCTTTCACCTTCATCCCACGCACAGCAGGGGAGCTAATACCTTCTGTCCAGGAAGGAGATTTCATATGCGCATAAGGGTAATTAGATCTGTTGGGATGCTCTCGCACAGGTGCCTTCTCCACATTGGAAGGGGTTTTAAAGTCATCCATGGATTCCTTGGATTGCTCCCCACTTCTTGCTGCCCCTGACAAATTTACAAAAGCATTAAAATCACCTCTTTCATCAGATTGGTCTCCTGCAGCAGCAAAGTTTTTGAACCTGGATCTCTTCTCCAGTGTCCCAAATTCTGCATTGTCTTCAAATGAACTCCCAACCCCACTACTAGAAGAGGCCATATGGGATGAATCAATGTCTCTAGACAAAGGACTGGTGGAAAAGAAAGAATCATCATATTCCACATGAGATCCCGCTGCATCGGAAGGAATAAGTGTGCCAGGATCTGCCATTAGGTCAACAATGTATTCCCTGAAAAACACATGGACCACTTTGAGGAATAGTTAAGCTTTTGCAACCTATGTCAATAAGTTTCAAACCTAGAAGCACTACTAGCCAACAATAAATCTTGTCAAGCAATTTTTAAAAAAATGCAAGAACCGCACAGCAAATCTTAAAACAAATATATAGATTAAAAATGCTTAGGTTTGAATAGAAGATAGCACAGAATAGAAGTAAATAAAAGAAACATGTTGACTCAAAAGAAATGGTCAACTTTTGCCTACTTAATAAACGATAAAACATATTATACTGCCAAGCAAATGAAACCTGATTATCAGATACTTATTTGTGGAGGAAAAAGTAAACGTGCAGACCATAATAGAAATCACCTTCCATCATCAATCTTTACAAAGTTTATTGCCATGTCATTAGAACCTGTATATTGCTGCCCCTTCACCAGCCGGCAAGGAATGCCAGCACTATCAGCCAAAACCTATGCAACCACAAAGAAACAACCATTACTGATAGAGAAGTCCTAGAAGATCACGTTCAACCTGTACACTCAAACTGCTAAAAAATGTTCTTCCTATGACTAAAGGCAGGTGTCAAGAAAAATGCCAAAGAGTACTAGTGGTGAGGACACATCATACATGATCTAAAATAAATAAGCAAAATAAATGAGACAGAAGTTTTATGTGTGGTTAAAAAGCAACAAGGAAGATCTTCAATCAAACCACAAATATTTAAAGAAGTAAATAAGAAAGAATGACATTCTCAATTTTAGACATCATTAATTGCTGTCACTTCTCAAAACTTTTTATTCCTTTTTCTACATGTTGACGATGGTGCAATAATCCAAATAGTCAAGCTCACATAGTGGGAAAAGGCTTTGTTTGTTGTTTTTTGCAGTTGTTTCTCAATATTACTCATATTAATTAAGAATTTAAGATGAATACAACCTTTTTCAATGTAACATATTTTTTCCTCCTCAACTATCTAACAACTTGTCTCCACTTTGGCACCATTATGCTGCTAGATAATGAACGAGTCATATTACATTTTTGAGATGTATCACCTGAGATATCTTAACGTATTAACAATAAAACAGATAATAAGACAGCATGCTTGTAAATTAAGAGAAGCAAAATTGCTCGAGTAGCCAACTCTATTATGATTTGCATAAACATGGCTATATACGGTCCCAAATCCCAAGAACAGAAAACCAAAGTTAGTTGTAATGGAAATATCAAATAAACTATCAACTATACTGAACTACTTGTTGATTCCAATAAAATGGGATTGGCTGTATGGAACCTTCCTCTATTCACCGTTTTGGTAAATCTTGAGAAATCCAGTTGGCAAGCCATATACCTAAATCAAAAGAAAAAAAATGAACAAATAGGGCAAGTACCTTGAACAACAATGCACGATGACAAGCCAACCCAATTGTTAAAGAACCAAGTGGCAAAACCATGCTGCCAAGGGTAGCTTTTAAACTGTAACTAAGACTTCGCCAGGCTCGTGAAATATTCTCAGGATCCGCAACTGGTCCACCCATATATTCAGAAACTAAAACTGCAAGCCTTTGCACCAGATTGCTGCTGACAAAAGCCAAAGATTCTGATCTTAACTTCGCAGTCATCTCTAGTGCTTTTCCTTCAAGTTTCAACAAATTTGCATCAAAAGCCCTATTGACCAAAACTGCTTCCCAAGAGACATTGTCTGAAACTGACATCCCTTGCAGATCAAGAAGTGAAGGCATTCTTTCTGAAGTCAATTCGGTTAGAATTCCATACAGGTCATAAAAGCCATCCAGGATCTTGTCATCATAATTAAGAGAATTATAATTCTGTGAAGCACGGACAAATCTAGGATATGAGCTAGGTTAGCAAGGGATAAACATATAGCAAATAAACACCAGCAAGCTAACTCACACAATGGTAAGGAACCTTGCGTATGAGAGACAGATACTAGTAAAGTCCATAAAGGTGCATTAGCATGTCAGGGGGAGGAGGGATGTTAGGTATAACCGGTAACCTAAAGCATTTCACCCTGCAATATATGCTTAAACCTAGAGCCTGCAAAGCTTACCTGAAGCCAAAATCATCCAACCTAGAATGACTCGATCTGGAATGACCCGAACTTAAATTAAGCATAATATTATTTTTATAAATATTAGTTTAATTAAAAACAATAAATATAATAAAATCTATTAGTTTATTAATATAATAGCTTTAAATTATCCTTAAAAATCTATTTTCTTTACTGTTGCATTTCATATAACTTTGGATATTGTCCTTCTTAATTATGAATAGAAAAAATTAAAAAAGAATTCATACCATTATAATTGAATTAAATTTCCATATTTATGCATTATAAGACAAGTTCTTTTTTTCTTTTTTTACATTTACAAAATAATAAAATCAATCATCAAATTAGATAAATAATAACTTTAAAAGCAAAAAGTAATCCACAAACAAGAAAAATAATTGACAATAATTCAACAAAGCTAACTGTGGGACCAACTTTTAAATATTTTAGTTGATTTCACCATGTATTTGATATTAGATGGTTATCAAAAATAATGACTTAAAATGCAACGGGAAAGACACTAGACTAGAGAATCTTTCTTCATGTCACCTAGAAAACATTATTTTTATATATCACTTTAATTTCATATAATAATCCTTAACTCTTAAAAGTAGCTAAAGAGATAACTAAATATTATTTATATTCAAATTTTCAAATAGTTTTTTCTTTTATTATTATTATTATTTACTCTCAATGAAGCATTCAAGAAACTAATTAACACTACTTCTAACTTTTGGAGTTATAGTTGACCTTTTAAGTGGTAAGTTATAACCATAATCATATTGAATCACCAATAATATTTAGTGCAATGAAAATGAAAATTAAACATCAATAAATCAAATCATTAATAATTTTTTTGGGAGAAAATTATTAATTTTTTGTATAAAATAATTCTAAATTAGTTTATGACTTTAATTTGCTAGTTGTTTTTATATGATTTAATGAGATTTTGAAAATCTTATTTATATGATATCAAAAATCAAAATGGGAGGTATGCCACAAGTTGACAAAAATGTGACTTTGAACTTAACCACGGTTGAGAAAATTTGACATGATCTAAATGATAACCCAAACCCGAATAACTCAAGTGTCAAATCCAAAATATTCAAACCCAAGATTACGCAAATCCGAAGCTACCTGAAGCCAAATGACCCAAATTTCGTTCTACTTGAAATGTCCTGACTCGCCCAATTGTCACCTCTACTTGAACCTAGTAACTTTTAAGACAATGACCTACTTAAATTATGATAATTAACTTTTTGTTGGAAAGGCAAATCAAGAACAATCACAAAATAAGTAAGTTCATGAATTTAATGCAAACTATAAACCACATTTTCCAGTGCAGGTCAAAAAACTTGTGTGTTTCTCAATGAATAAATAGAATCCAGGGGCATACAATTCAATATTTCTACAATGGCCATTCAACTAAGAAACTACAAGGATAGGAATACGATGGTAGACTATGAGTTGAAGATACAAGGGAACTCGTTTAAAGGGGCAATTTTGAGTTGCTAACAGTTAGCTGATAGATAAGAAATAATGGATGAAACTGTGACCTTAAAATTTGAAGGAATAGAATGTCAGACAATGACTGAACTAAACATGAGGGCTAGGTCTAAAGGGGACAAATTCAAGTCTAATAAGGTTAATTGACAGAAAAGAAATAAACAACATAGCCTGTGAAAAACCCTCCTAGAGAGTGGCATCTTTATTAAAGACCAAGAATCAAAGATTATGAAACTAGAAGTCCCTTGACTTTTGCCAATTTATATCTAGTCTCAATGTAAGCTTTTTACCAAGATTTTACCATCTCCGCCTAAAGGTCCTCATCAATGATTCAAACCACAATATTGCCTTTGAACTGGAAGAGTGATAAATGTAAAGCAGTATTAATAGGGCACTCCAGAAACTTTGTTTAAGCTCCGAGGATGCTACATTACTGCCTTTGATGCTTTTATAAAATAAAGGGAGAATAATAATTGAAAAGGATCACAACCTCCGCAAGGGCAAGACAGACCCCTTCTCAGAACTTTATTGGACTTGGTTTTGAAAGCCTTTCCCCCCTTAAAGCATAAAATACCTTCATGCCAAAGTCAGCTCTATATGCTAACCCATTCCAATTCATTAAACACAAAGTTTACATGTGGTAACGGATGAGAGAGAGAGAGAGAGAGAGAGAGAGAGAGAGAGAATGATAATTGACCCCATTCATGCAATGTATTTTGTGCAAAAAAATTGGCTAAAGCTAAATCTACAGTACATACTGTGGATAAATTGCTAAAACTCCAAGAAAAGAAAGTTAAAAAAATCAAGGATTAAACTAAAAGTTCAAAATAAGACTTTAGTAAGTACTAAGGAGAAAAACAAAACGCTTAAAAGGATTAAATAGGGGAATAAAGAGAGAAACATACCCAATATCTGTATGCAACAAGTTCAGCTGGAGTATTCTCCGGAGCACAAGAACCTAAACTAATTTGCTTAACAGCCTCAATCTGAGCTGCCTCAGGATCTTCCCTGGCACTCAACTCCAGAGCCATTTGTATCTGATACTCCTCTTCTACATCAGGATCTCTTGAGTTACTAGACCCTGAATCGCGCCTTATTGCATCCAAAGCAGCCTCCAATCCACTAGTACTAACTGAATCAGTAGGTTCCATGGTTTCCTCCTTTTTCATATTTGAAGAGGATGGTGGACTAGGACTTTTTCTATTAGCAGCTGAATTTAACCAATTGGAAAGAACAGAAGATGTTTTATTATTCTCAGGATTATGATGGGACCTTGAGTGCAAAGGTCGATCAGGGGATGATGATACATCACTGGACTTGTTGTTGCCTCTTGATGAAGTCGACTCTTCTACATCTTCCGATTGATTAGACATCATATGCAGTTTCTTGAGAAGGTTCTTCATATTATTTCACCAAGCTATAGCATCCAATGATCCAATGCTAAAGAAATATAAATCGGGCAATAAACATCTCCATTGTCTTGAACCAAGCATGAAATCTCAGTTCAAACTAATCGGAAAACAAAATATAAACTAAAGCAAAAACCCCTTTTTTATCTAATTGCCTTCCCCCTCTCAAGCTAACCAAAAAATCAACCAATTAAATCCAAAAGCCAAAACAACCACAATTTCAAAGAATTACCCAGTAAAGTTTGCCAAATATCAAAAGGCCCCAGATGCTTCAATTCGAAGAATCAGCATCGTTTCCTCATACAAAGAACATCCATAAAAACAAAAACAAAAAAAGGAGTTTAAAAACATACCAAGAAACCAGACTTTCTTTCACCTTCAACAACAACCAAACAAAACGACAAAAATTCAATACCCAGATTAAGAAAAAAATCGGATCTTTGGATATATAGATATTAGAGAAGAAAGCACAGAAAAGGAAGCAGCTTGGAAATGTGCATAAACTATATAAAACAAGCGAAAGGAAGCACCAAACAAAGGGCAGAAGAGAAAGAAACAGCGAAGAGCAACTAGTGGGATAGTAGGACCTCCCAAAGAAACGACAAAGATGTCCCACTTGAGTTATTATAGGGGCAACAGCCAACAAGGATTTTGAAGGTCTCAAAGAAAAAAGGTTGACTTGATGGCAATGGCATTGGCAAACACCTCTCTCCTCTTTCTCTCTTTCTCGCTTTCCGTCCCTAAAGTCCAACACTCTCCAAATTTTTATTTTTCAAAATTTAAATACTAAAAATAATAACTCAAAAATACATCAATTATTACTATACGTTCAATTTTTTTAACGAAAAGAGGGGACTTTTATAATAAGTTTAAATTTTTTAGTTTTATAATAAGATCAATAAATAATAATTATTAAATTTATATAATTAAATATCAATAGTTGATTAAGTTTTAAAATAAAAAAAGATAAATTATGCTTATCAAATAATGAGATTATCAAATAATGAGATTATAAAATAAAATTTATAAAATCTTATACATAATTTAAATAATTTTCATTTTATAAAATAGTTTCTTTTTTCATTTTATTACATGTTTATGAAATTACTTAAAAAATAAAAACATAACAATTAAAAATATTTTTTAAAAAAAATTTTAATGTAATTGGTATTTTTGAAAATAGCTAAAAAAAATTATAAAAATAATTATAAAGAAATTAAAAATATTAACATAAAAGAATTTATATTTTAAAATAAAAATAAAAATAAAAGTATTAGCATAATTAAACAAGAGAAATAATAAAATTTACCAATACACACTCTTAAAAATGAGTTATGAAAATTTTAAAAATAATTGAATGTAAGAAGCAACGTTAAAGAATCATTTTAACATAAATAATTAAATTAACATTTTAAATTTTAAATTAATTATTTTTCTTATTAATATATAATAAAATAGTTAAAAGTATAGTCAAAGATAAAAATCAACGTAAAAGACATGATATTTTAAAAAAAAATTAATTAAAAATTTATTACCATAATTGTGTGAGAAGAATGGTAAAATTTATATTATATAGTATGAAATATGTTAAAAATATTGTAACTTTTAAGAAAAAACTATGATAATTCTAAACTTAATAAAATGTAAGAATAATTGTAAAAAATTATTATTAAAATGTAAATATTTAATATAGCAACATAAAATTTTAACTAATTATTATTTTTATAAATATATAAGAAAAATATCTAATAAATAAAAAATATAGATAATGTGAATAGATGAGAAGAAACAAAATATTCATATCATTTAAAGTAAAATGAGTAAAAAGTGTCATAATACACTAAAAAATAATTTATGATAATTTTAAACATATCGGAAAGAAAAAACAAACGTAAAAGTATATCATTATAACATAAATAATTATGATGATAATATAAAATTTTAATTAATTATTATTTTTGTATATATATAATAGCAATGAAGTAAAAAATAAATTGGTAATATAAATAAGTGTGAAAAACGTAAAATTAGTATCATTTAGGGTAAAATTGACAAAATTGATAAAATTACAACACATTTGTTGTAACATATAGATCCGTGAATATATCCTTAGATATAAACTTTAAGAAATCGCTACCAATCTTTTCTATTTAGGTGCGATTAGCCACTTATTTGAATTTGACCTATTTTAAAAAGGAATCTTAAGCTTGAATTAGGTATCTTTAAATGATAGATTATAGTCTACTAAACCAGATTTAGGTTCGGGAATGCGGTTATAAATGAAGAAAGTTATAGCACCCTCACAACGCCCATCCAAATGATGGTACGAGTTTGATTTTAAATTATCTAAACTTTAAAACACTTTTATAATTTTACCAAAAATTTAATGATAATTTACTCACCTCAAAAGTATTCATAGAGACTACTATCATACTTTGAAGAGGCTCTGTCATTAAATTCATTATTATATTTTATTTAAGAAATAATCAATAAAATCTTTCAATAGTTTGGTAAAATTTTACTTTGATGCAAATCTCCCAATAATTTGATGAGATTTTATTTGAAAACCATTTATATAATTTATTTTAAGAACACTTATTAAATCTTTCAATAGTTTGGTAAGATTTAATTCAAGATTTAAATTCTCTAATAAATTGGTAGGATTGAAAAATGTATTATTTTATCAAAAAAAATTTATAATGAAATCCTTTAATAGTTAAAAAAAATTCTAAACCCATGAAAATACTCCAATAATTTGGTAAAATATCATGAATTAGTTTTCAAAAAAAAATTTATTTATTATTTTACACATCCATGATAAAATAAACATTAAATAATAGCATAACATAAAATAAAATAAATTGTACCTAAATCTAAGTTGAAATCCAAAAACTTGAGCTTGGATTGGCCCAATCTATATTCTAATCCAAGTTCAAAAAGGGAAAGCTTGATAACTTGGGCTCAAGAATGGGCTTAAGCCATTCAAGATAGCACGAGGGCTAGGGCAAGTAATGGGCCTAATTATTGCTGCTCTTAGGCTTAACCCAAACTAGATCACCAGAATCAAGTTAAAGAAACCTGGTTCTTCACAATGCCAAAAATAATGATGTTTTCACCATAATATAGAATGCTCTATTTTCTTTCTTTCTTTTATTTTTCATTCTCCTATTCTCTTTCTACCTTATTTCCTTTCACTTCTCTCTAGCCAAATCCTTATTCAAAATCCATAAATTGGTGATTGTTACCTATTCCTGCCATTAGTCGATGGTAGAGTCCACCGTCGATCACTAGAGATTTATTCTATCTTTAACCCTTTTTTCAACCAAACCCCAACAACCTATCATATAAACCTTAGCCAATTTGCCACCCATTGTCATCACCTTTCGAGACAACTAAGGATTTTACTAGTTTTCTTTCGACTTTCTATCACTCTACAAAGATAAAAATCCATAACTTATTTGAAATCCTTATGTAGAAATCTCAACTTCCCTTTCTTTTTGTCTACCTAAAACTAAAACCTAGCTTTAACCCAAAAAATGAAATACTTGAATACCATCACCTATGTTTTAGAATCAGGTAAGCTTGCTATCACTTCCACCATCGACCTCCGCATTGTTCCTTACAGTTTACTTCTTTCTTTTGTGCTTTCTCTCCACCCAAAAAAACAAACTCTTTTAATCCCAAATCAAAACCCAACTAAACAATCCCTTGCCTAAAAAATATTCAAAAATTCAAGAAATATTCTCCTCATCCATTTTGTTCCAATCCAAAAAAAACTTAAAACTTTTAACTTGAAATCCAAATATTCATAATTTGAAATTTTAAGGGTTCATTACAAAACTTCAAAGATTCACAAGGTTTCACAACAAAAATTAAAAGATTCCAATATTCCAATATTCGTAAAAAAAAAAAAATTATAATGATTTCAAAATTCGTGAAGATTCAAATTCATAAAGGTTTTCAGATTCACAAGAATTCTAAGTTTCGCAAAGATTCCAAAAGTTCATAAATGATTCAAGACTCTCAAAGGTTCTAGATTCACAAAGATTTCGAGTTTCATAGAAATTTCAAATTCGTAAGATTTCAAATTTCGCAAAAGTTCTAAATTCGTAAAGGTTTCAAATATACCAAAATTTTCAAATTCATAAAAATTCATATTTGCAAGACTTCAAAGATTTGCATGACTTTCAAATTCACAAGAATGAAAGATTTGCAAGCTTTTCAGATTTGCAAGAACTTCAAATTTACGAGAACTTCATATTCGTAAAAGTTTTAGGTTCATAAGAATTTCAGGTTTGCAAGATTTAAAGGTGCATAAGAATTTTATATTTGTAAGAACTTCAAATTCGTAAGAGTTTCAATTTTCATCATCGTAAAGATTCACAAACTATAATTCACAGACAAGATTCAAAGATTCACATTCAAAAGATTTAAAGTTTCATATAAAAAATTCATGGATTTACATCAAAGATTTCAAGGCTCAAAGATTCTCATTCGAAAATTTTAGAGATTCACACCCAAAGTTAAAGATTTTCATTCGAAAAAAATTAAGGATTCACATCCAAAATTCAAAAATTTTAAAGATTCACATCAAAATTTCAAATATTCACATTTGAAAAGTTTTAATGATTATGCCTAAAAGTTGAAGATTTTCATTTGAAAAACTTAGGGATTCACATCCAAACATTTAATGATTCATATTCGAAAAATTTTAGAGATTCACATCTAAAATTTAAAGATTTTAAATTTCAAATATTCTTATTTGAAAATTTTCAGGGTTTCACATCTAAAATTTCAAAGCTTCACATTTGAAAAACTCTTTTAAACAAAGGCTTCATAACTTTAAAAGTTTGAAAAGTTTTCCTTGTAAAAAAAAAATCTCATCATGAAAGATCTTCCTCATTCAAGGATTTAAAAGTCAAAAATTTTCTCCCACCAAAGTTATATTCTTGTATGCAACAAATGTCATGAAAATAATATAAATGCATTCTAAATGATGAAAATGCAACAATATAAATTCTCACTAATTGATGCAAATGCAAGTCATAAACAATAATATAGATGTCGTACTATAATTCAAATATTCACTACATGATGCGAATGCATGCCCTAACCATGATACATATGCATTGTTTAAACAATGATTTAGATACTCTCTAAATAACACAGATGAAATGGTATAAACAAATAATGATATAAGTGCAATATTCAAAAAATGATTTAAATATTCACCAAATAATGTAGATGCATGGTCCAATCAATTATACAACTTACAGATTTCCCAAATGATGCACTCGCATATTCAAACTATCATGCAGATGCAATTATCAAAATAAGGACTTGTACATTTACCAAATAGTGCAAAAACAATTATCAAAACAAATCATTGTTGTTGGCCCAAAAAAATCACTCTTTTCATATTGATATAACATTTCAAATTTGAAAATTTTCAAAGACTCCTAAAAGAATGGCAACCAATTACCCCACATATTACTTTTCCATGACCAAAATATATCAACATATGATATTTAAATCTCTTGAAAGCTGGTGATTACTACCCAAAATGAATTAGGTGAATCTTGATTTTTCTAAAAGGATGAAATGGTTTAGCATGTTAGGATTTTAGCTACTAAGAAAGACTTTGTTATTGAATATGAAAATGAAAATCAACGTTTCTTCATCTAGGCTCACAAATAAAAGTTTAAATCTGAAAAATTATTCTTTTTAAAGCACAATTGATTTTGGCACTCCTTTAGGTTTTTAATATGGGGCATTTT